GGAAGCAAGCTAATGCCTTAATAATTCTCAAGCATTCCCAAAAAATAATCTTTTCTTGGGGGAAAAAGGTGAACTTTTTTACTGCTAGTGTATGAATGGACTTTGGAGGCCCATTCCACATACAGGGATACTCTCTCAGCCTAGACACATGGGGGAGGACATGGGCACTGCTCCAAATGATATGACAGACTTTAAAGATCCCCAATAAAAGGCCTCATCCTTTCTGAGGAACAGAAAGGGGATGGGATAGGAATCAGTGGGGGGGAAGGGAGAGTGAACTGGGATTGACATGTATTTTATTTTACGTAAACTTTAAAAAAAAAAAAAATGGGGGAGGGGGTGTGGAAGGACACTCTTTTTCAAAGCTAGATTACACTATATACATACAGAAGTGAAAATTTTTTTTGTTCCCTGGGGGACATTCAAAACAAATAAGTAATGCATAACCTTTCCAAATTCATCATAGCATAGTAAACAAAGTAAAGCAATTACAATTGGAGTTCCTACCTCTTTGAGCATCTACCTCAATTCCAAGTAGCTGGGTTTTTTTTTTTTTTTTAAGATGTTTATTTATCATGTATGCTCTAATCTGTCTGCTTGTATGCCTGATTGCCAGAAGAAAGCAACAAAGATCTCATTACAGATGGTTGTGAGCCACCACATGGTTAATGTGAATTGAACTCAGGACCTCTGGAAGAGCAAACAGTGCTCTTAATCGCTGAGCCATCTCTCCAGCCCTAGCTGGGCTTATTTTAATGCTAACTCATCTATAACCAATAAAAATACTGATATACTCTTTAGGTTTACAGTAATTATATATATGCCTCCAAGTTTAGCAACTTGCTCTCCATATAGCACCTGTATTTCATGAATACCATGCTTACTCAAATTTCACCTCAACATCAATAAATGATCACCAACACAGGAAGAATATCAAAACTTTTGTGGAAATCTATAAATTTTTCATACACCTTATTTCTGTTAGCGAGTATTTTACGCAGCAATCTATAGTAATAGCCTGTCTGCCCAAATCTTTTTTTACATCTTCCCCTAAAAAAGCAAAATCAAGCATAAATTTCATCACAATAATCCTTTCAGAACAGTTTAAGGAATGACACATATAATTATTACATTTAACCTTTGTAATTCTCAAATCAGAAATCAAGTTTAAATTGTAATACAAACTAAGTCATTTAAACTTTAAAAAAGAAACTTCTATAGTGACCCTGCTTTTTTAGTCACAACTAAATTTATTCTATCAGATATACATTTTAGACATAAGAGACACTAATCTCTAAATGGCTTCCAAAGTGATTTACCAGGACTTTCCCATTCGTGTCTTGGAATAACAATCCCATTAATAAGTATGAACTTGGGTAGCTCCATCAGAAACTATTTAAATCAAATAGCAAGGTTTCTGAAGTATTTCAAAGCATCCCTACCTCCTTCCTAGCCCCACCTCCAACTCTAGCCTGAAACCAGTAGCCAGAACCCCCTGAATATACTTACAAGTCCTGTATGTGGCCACTGACTTTAATATGCAATGGAGCAGAGTTCATTCACATAAACTCAGTTGCAGTAATCTAAATGCAAATTTTATCAAGAGATCATTTTCTTCTTCCCTCTCCTGAATTATTTGGTACTTCAATCTCATTTTCCAATCTTCAAAGAAATTTTATTTGCCAGAAATAAAACTGGAGAATAGAAGAACACTACATGGTGAAGCATGTTCCCAAAACAAATTATCATGGTGTTCATAAACCTATTGGCATGTATGCAACCGGATTTCCAAATTAAACCATTCCAAAACATTTATTCTATATATTTATATATATCTCCCAGGCCATGTGGCTTGCAATCAGAGGTATTTCAGGAATTTGTTTTGACCATTTCCTAGTTACTTTGAATGTGTTCATGATCAAAAGGCGACAGAGCTCTAAAGATTACAAGTGTCTATTAAAAAGCTGTTGAGTGAAAACTCATGAAATGGAGGACACTCACAATAATTCTTGGACTCCTGGAGATCCTAAGACATGCTACAAAAATAGGTCTTTATTCTTAGGAAAATATAGTCAGAGCTAGCTTCCTTATGCTATACATAAAATCTTAACATCAGAGGCAGTACAGATAGTACAGATAGTTTTTGAACTGATCTCCAAACAATCACAAACCCACTATATTGGGAAAAAAACAGGTATTTTGAGGTTTTTGGCAAAAGACAGTACTTCACATATCTAATCCAAATCAAAGAGCCTGCAGACAGCTTTCAGTGAGACGAAAGGAATGAAATAAATATAAATTCTATGGATAAATAAATGCAAAAGAATTTAAATAGGCTAAAATCTAATTTTTTTTTTTAATTAAAATACTCAGGTACAAGCTTTTGTTTCTAACTGTCAGACTTCTAAATATTTACTAGGCTACTGTAAATATTAAAAACTTTGACCCAGAGTAATACTTGATTTGCATTTGCAAAAAAGGTTGTCCAACTGAATTCTTCTGGTCCTGAAAAGCATTTTAGGTACATTATTGAAGGCAGACTGTGGTGCTAATATGGTTTGTGTTTTAAGAACTTTTAAAAAGTGACAGACTCCAAAAGTCCATTTATACATTGGCTCAGTTGGTTTTTTTTTTTTTTTTTTTTAAATGCCTGTGTGAGCCTTGGGTCATAATAAGCATCTTTAGTGGTGTGCCCTATTGAGTGGTTAAGATTACTAAGTAAATACTACATCATAAAAATCACCCAAAGAAGTCTGTTCCGTGTATTGTTAAAGTAAGTTGTTTATTAACTTTATACCCATTGCTGAATTCCTGTTTATGCTATGTATAAGTGGGGAGAAAACAGTCTTGGAGGGTATTGTTGGAGTTTTTAGAAACCTGAGCAACCATTTACTCTAGGATTAGCTACCTTTTTTAATGCATGAAGCCCTTTCTATATGCTAATTTCTCCCCCATCAAATAGTGTAACATGGTGTATTTGCTGCTTCTGACCAAGTATTCTCAAAAAAGCTGTACTAAAGTTAATTTTCCCATGTGGTTTGATGCCCATCCTAATAATACTAAATACATCTTTTCAAATATCTTATATACAATTATACAGCCCAGATCTCCCCATCAATTCACTTGTGTCATTTCTAATCTATGAGAAAATGTTTATACTTGTTTAATCAGATCTGCATCAAATACTTCTGCAGTAATCAGTGAGTTTCTCATGATGCTGTTAAGTGCCATCGTGATCATGATTCCTTTTTAGCAATTCAATTCTCCATTTTTAACATGTGATTCAATGTCAATGACTAAAATCTTGCACATAAAAAAAAAACATGCTTGTTAAGAATATAATTAACACAACTTTCTCACAAAGTAACTTCCTAGAAAACTGATAAACTAAATTTATGAACACTTTTGATTGCCAAGTAGTCTGCAGAAACAAAATCTTGCGTCTGTTTTGGTTAAGTAACTTTTCAACAATCAAAATTCTTTTAAAGATGGATATACTTTTTACCTCAAGGAAGGGACTTAACTATTAAAGACCCTTTCCATGACAATATATACAAAATTTAACTTGTCATCTGTCCATTCTTTGAAGCTGTCAAAGCCAAGAACCCATAAACAAATCACAAATGCAATAACCTACATTAGTTAACATTCCCCCTTTTAACATGTTGACATTTTTACTAAAGGATTATTTTTCATTTCCATTTCTCATATCCCATGACATTCCATATAAATTGCATTATTGCTTTATAGGCCACACAACATTCAAAATTATGTTTATATGCATTGCCTGTTTTTCTTGATTTCTGATAAGAGTTTGTTACTGATTTTACTACAGAAATTTAAGTTTGAAAATATCACGGTTAGTATTTCTTCTCAGAACTTAATTGTTCACATCACTAATCACTACATGCATATTTAGCTCTGATTATATTGCTCAAAAACTGCACCCATTATCAGAACAGTGCAAATGATATTTAATTTTAAAATTATAATGGCTTAAATTCAAAGTCATTAAAATGAACACTGTCAAGTATTTTTCGCTTGAGTCTATATTTCACCACCACTGTTTACATTACCCTTAAGTATACCCGTCAATTCTTCACAATTTCTTTTGAATCAGTTTTCCCTCCCATGTCCCCAAACTAAAGACAAGTCTTAGAAATCCCGAGCTCCATAACGTCAATGTTTTCTTAAAGAACACATTTGTGAATTCACAAAAATGTTCATCTTTCAACTTTGACAATGCAGTTAGGTCAAACAAACCTGTTCTAGCTTCCCAAGAAATAAATCCAGGAATTAACTAAAAGACCTTGACAGTGTCCGTTAAAAATGGTATGACAGTTAAGTGCCAACAGGCATGGCAATGACCTCTTAGATGGGATCATTTTACTCCTTGGACCTGGGAAGTGCCAGCACCAAGGATTACACTGAGAATCAATTTTGCTGAAGGCTACATTTAATTGACCCACTTTCCACGACCTAGTATACTTACTATGTTAGAATGAAATGTACATGTTTTGTGTAGCCCTCAAACTTACACTAAGATTTCAGAGATGTACTTTTAAAAAGCACAGGGTAATATATAAAATCAGTGGAAGAAAGTTTCAGTAAGCACCAGGAACAAATTTTGTCACCCCATACTCATTTTGTAGGTAAGTTTCAACAACCGGCAAGGCACATTTACATATATTCCAATGAATACTTATTGACAAATTTTAAATTACACTCTATGCCCCAGCTATCCCAGTAACTGACATACAACATACTAAAATGGTTTATTAAAGTAACAAAAAAGAAAGGAAAAAAAACCAATTAATGGGAAACATACAGGCTATTGGCAACCACTATTCTAAAATGTAAGTACAAATGAACATACTGAAATGTGTGCAATTCTAAGTTTTTAAACCAGAAGATTTTTCTATACTAACACACATTTATATTAATGACACATAAAAAAAATAAAAACTTTATTACAAAAATAAGTTACACTCGCCTCCAGCTTACAGTATAAAACAATTTTATTTGCAGGAATGCAAAATGATTGTTTGCCATGAGCATTTTGAACATATGACATGTCTAATTTTCTTGTTAAATTTGCATTTACTGGGGAACTGGTGTGTATAAAACCTTAATTAGGTATAAGCTCTGATCTTCATTGTGGTGCCTATTGGGTATGTGGTATAACTGCAGTATCCCTTTGGGGAGGGGGAGAAGGTATTTGTTTATACCAAGTCCTACTTAAACTATAAATTTTACTTTTGACTTTAAGCTATTAACTTAGGACTTGGCAAAAAAATTTGAGGGTGATTCAATAGAGGATGCTTCACCACTGAACACTCACTGTCATCAAGGTGCTTTAGAAAATTAAAAACATAGCACAAATGATTGTACTCTACACTACAAGTTATCATGACCTGCTTAAGAAATGGAAAGCTGACTCACATTTTTATAGTGATCAGCATTAACAAATGCACTAATGAAACATACCTTTTACCTAAAAAGCTAAACTACAGTCATATACTAATTTCTATGATTTATGAAAAAACTTCAAAATATCCAAATGTCAGGCTTTTGCTGTACAACTGTCAGTTTTAGTCTGACTTTTTATAAAGGGACACTGCAGTATTTAGTACAAGTTCGGATGCACTTTTTTGAACATCTGATGTCTTACAAAAGTAACATCTTGCTAAACTATTATACATCCAAATAACTACAATATCTGAAGAAGCAAGGCTGCTTTTTCAGCCACAAAATACGACAAAAGCAAGGCCTGTTATGATGGTCATGAGGAAGTCTTACAAGCCTCTGAAACTAAAGGCAACTAAGAATGTTACATTTGGTTTATTAAAATCTTACCCTCATATCATATTTTAACAAGCCTTGCTTTTATCTACAAAGATTTTCTATGTACAGTACAGACAGGGTATAGTTCAATCCTCTGCTACTGAGGTAGTTAACCAACCCTTTAAAAAAGGTTCTGAAAAGAACCACTATCTGGAATGCCTGACTAACCAGCTCTGATGATTACACCTGAAACTGCATCTGAACACAATTCAAAAGTGATTACTATAAAAAGATATAGACAATCATGATTAACCTTGGTGAGCAGAAATTAAATTTAAGGGTACCAACAGTGGCATTCATCTATATCACTGCAATAAAATTTAAATGCACAAATTCAAGAGAATATTTCAGAATACCACTGCTGAGATCCTTAATTAAAAAAGGGGGGGAAAAATCTACTTAGAGCAGATTTTTTAAAGAGAAGAACTTTATTCTTTATTAAGATACCATGCTAGAAGTTATGAAGGATTTTTGTTGGAACACATTTGGAAAATAGAGTAGCTTTAGTTTAATAACTTGCACTGCAGAGAAAATTGTTAAAGAAATTCATATCAAAGTCCAAGTATTAGTTCAATGTCCCGTATTTGACTCCATGATCTTCATAGGAAGGTCTTCTGCAATAGAATATGCTCCTATACAGCCGAGATATTTAAGGTTCTTGATTTTTCCTTACCATTACTCCACTGCAAGCTTCTGGTGTAATCCCACATAGCAAGTCAGTCTTCATTGTAACAGGTCAGGACCGGCCTCGACCCCTTTTCCCTGCTAGCCAGGTAACAAAAGGAATCAGTTAGAGAAATCATTTTAAATTAACTATGTGTACATACATAATGATAACATTAAATACCCTAAGTCTTATATAAAATCTATTCAACAAGTTATGTTGATTGGTTTCTCACTTGCTTTCAGTCCAATCTTGGGTTTGCTTTTGGTGGGAGGGGATGTTTTTTGACTTAAGTATAACCCACTTTTTTCACAAACTGATTTTATTTAAAACTATTCTACAACACTAAAGAAAAACCTATCAAGTTATACCTTAAGGGACTTATTCCAATAAGTTTACAAGAATTCCTATTTTTAAGACATGGAGTAATCATAAAGTATCTTCAAGCTAACATCTTATTAGATTTTTTT